TAAAAAAAAAAAAAAAAAAAAAAAAAAAAAAAAAAAAAACTGAAAATGAATATATCCTCCAACACTGGGAGTCTCCAGGCAAAAAAGAAACAAAGTAATTATCTTTTTCTCAACTATTTTAAATGTGAATCAGCTCCTAGACTGCTTCCATCTAGTCACCCTCCTTGGTGGGTTCCCTTTAAAAATTGTCAGAATTTGTTTCGTATTTATTGCCTAATTTTATTAGCACAATAGCATTCTCTGGTAGACTGGTCAGGTGTTATTGCTATCATGTTACCATTCAACTGATTCAAGAGTTCAAGCAAAGACTATTTATCGGCTATGTTACAAGGTATTGTCCAAAGCACCAGGGAGATGAAAAAAAAGCAACGGGATGCAATTTACAATCTACGGTGGAAGGAAACTCCCACAGATTAAGGATCATTAAGATAAGATACAAAGTGCTAAGAGGTTCCCATAGAAAGAGATCTCATCAAGTTGGGGGGGAAGAGGGGGGAAGCATGAATTTGTGGAAGAGGTGACACTTGGGAGTTACTGGATGGCTGGATTTCAAGACAAGAGATGGTATTCGTGGATTGTTAAGGAAGAACCCAGCCTGAGCAAAATGAGCGCATTCAGTGGGCTATAGCAAACTGAATACTCTAGTGGGGCTGGACCGCACAGGCCACGGAGGAGGGGAAGGAAAGGCCTCAGAAGTTGCAAAAGGATCTTGAGGGTAGTAAAGAAACTGCATTGTGAGTGGTAAGTGAAAAGAGAAACGAAATGATCAATTAATCGTTCTGAGTCCTATTCTGCCACCTACAAATGAAGAACTTGAACTAGATAAGCAATTTTCAATCTTTTGTCCACTCAGCACACCCAAAGAACACATCCCTCCTGCCAGAACTATGGATCACTACAACAGTGATTCATATATATATATATATATATATATAATGAATGGGATGAATAAACAGTAAACCCTGTCCAAAGCCCTTTTCTTTCCACATCACCACCCAGCCTTCCCTAACATACAGGGATAAGAAGTTACTTGTCCATAGTCACAAAATTCATACAGGATCTTGATTAGAGCTCAATTCTTCAGACTCCCAACTCTATACTCTCCATTAAACTACCCTGCCTTGGAATCAAAGAGCAGTGACAAACTCAGAATTTTAAACAAAAAAAGTTCTTTCCTTCCATGCATGCACAGCTAGTCTTAGAAGCCAAGAAAGCAGGTGCTGAGCCAAGTGATTTGAGGGGCCTCTGGCAGATGTTTCTGGACAAAAACGTTTTATACCCAGGTCTGTCAAAGGCCACCAGACTTCATCAATAGTTATAGGAGTAGATACATTGAATATAGATGTTGACTCAAGAGGTGAAAATTTGCTCAAAATCATTAAAATCCCCCCCCCCCCCAAGGCAGAAAACCCCATCTTATTCACCATTGTCTCCCTGGAACCTAGCATACTGCCTAAAATATAATAAATATTTGTTTTTATAAATGATTATAGTTCAGGGTCTCAGAATTCATCTAGTCCAACACCCTCATTCTTTTGAATTTGGAGGCTGTTCCTTAAGAAATCCTAATTAAGATGTACATGCCCCTGGGAAAAGTAACATTTTAAGCTATACTTAAAAAAAGAAATATGACAGTTGTGAGAGAAACCATACCAGACAGAAAAGCAGGGCCATACCCAGAAAGAAATAAAGATTAGGAAGAGGAAGAGCAAGATGAAAAGGAAGAAACAAGAACTTCACGTATGACATGATTTTATCTATTTAGCACACAGTTTGGGAAAGAAAATACTTTGAAATGGTAGTACACACTTGACTGTGGAAAGCCACAGCCTATGGAAAGATTAGTGTCTCATCTGAAAAAATCAATTAAATTATAAACTAAGGGATAAATAAATATAGCAATAACATGAACAGAAACCAATATAGCAAAGAATATAATAATTTTATTATGAAAGAATTCTAAGGCTATTTTCAGTGGTAAAATAGGGATGTTACCAACCCTAGCTATCCTATCTACTTGTTATGAAGATAAAAACCAAAGGATGCAGGTCAAATCTTTGTTTACCATAAAGCAAAATCCAAATGTAAGCTGTTATAGTGTGCCATGGTTCAAACTTAAAACACCAGGCAAACATTTAAAACACACAATGCTAAATGCTAACTTAAGCCATTTTTAGTTCACTACATTTCTTTTCTGCAATTTATTTCCACTCAAACAAGTAATACAGGAATCCATTCGTATTCTTAAAAAATGTACTCAGCACAAATAAGTCCTTTTGATTCTCATCCAGTTCCGCCCAGAGGAAGCCACTCTTGTTAATTTGGTAGGTATCTGTCCAGACTCAATACAAATAGGATCACATTTTACATACTATTCTGTGTTCTGCAACTGGCTTTTTCTTTTCTTTTCTTTTTTTTTGTTTTTTCCTTTTTGTCTTTTTTCGTGACCGGCAACGGATCGCAACCCTCAGTGTTGCCCCCGCACCGGACCAGGACCGGCAATGGGATTGCAACCCTTGGTGTTGCCCCCGCTCCTCGCTCAGCCAGTGAGCGGCTGGTCTGTATGTGGGATCCGAACCCTCGGCGGGAGCGCTGCAGCGCTCCCAGACGGTGTACTGTAGCAGTGCGCCACCGGGCCGGCCCCTGCAACTGGCTTTTTCATGTAACCATGTCTTGGACATCTTTCCATATCAGTAAATAATAATCTACCTCACTATTTTGAAACTTTGCACAATGTTTCCATAGTATAATATGCCATAATTTATTTAGCATCATCTATTGATGGACAATTGGGTGACACTGTTTTGAATCACACACACAAAAATACAAGTGAATTAACTATGGTTTTTTTTTTTTTTTTTTTGTCTTTTTGTCTTTTTCCGTGTCTGGCAACGGATCGCAACCCTCAGTGTTGCCCCCGTACCGGACCAGGGACCGGCAACGGGATCGCAGCCCTCGGTGTTGCTCCCGTGCCTCGCTCAGCCAGTGAGCGGGAGCCGGTCCGTATGTGGGATCCGAACCCTCGGCGGGAGCGCTGCAGCGCCCCCAGACGGTGCACTGTAGCAGTGCGCCACCGGGCCGGCCCCTGCAACTGGCTTTTTCTTTTCTTTTCTTTTTTTTTGTTTTTTTCTTTTTGTCTTTTTCCGTGTCTGGCAACGGATCGCAACCCTCAGTGTTGCCCCCGTACCGGACCAGGGACCGGCAATGGGATCGCAACCCTCGGTGTTGCTCCCGTGCCTCGCTCAGCCAGTGAGCGGGAGCCGGTCCGTATGTGGGATCCGAACCCTCGGGCGGGAGCGCCACCGCACTTCCCAAGCGGCGCACTATCCATTGTGCCACCGGGCTGGCCCCAAACTATGTTATTTTTTTAATAGGCAAATTTTTCTAAAGGTCTGGGAATCCTGCACGTGAAAAAATTCAGAAAGATACGTGTGGAAGCTATCCTATACCCAGGTGGCAAAAGTGTTCCTTTAAAAAATCCTTTTGCCCTTTGGAACAATCCAGTTGAAAATGAATGACTCCAGTCATGGCCACACGTAGTCCATGGTCTGGGCCCTTGCTTGTCCTGCACTGGCCCCCACTGGCAGGCTCAGAAAAAATAGTATTCAGAGGTCGATTTACCAAAAAGCTGTTGGAGTTTATGATTTAGGGCCCCTCACTTGCCTGGGTTCCCTTCCAAGGCCCTAGCAATGTATTCACTTACTCATATAGTTTTGTAACATTTGTCAAGGAATTTTAAATTATTGGCTTGGCTAAGGACAACAAGTAAAAGCCTAAAACTTGAAAAAATTGAAAATGAGGAAAGTGAGTCCTATAGA